CTCGGCCCAAACACTCGATCCCTGTTCCCGTATTGGTTTTGGAAGCATCAGTATACCAAGTTATGGTATGGTCTTTTAACTGCTGGGCAAGCGTTTCGCTCTTCAATCCTTCTTATTGCTCAATACTACATTGACATGTTTGTCAAAGTTGTACGTTCTTGGCATATCGTCCACTGGGAGTTGCAGGAGTGGTATTTCCTTTTGAGGGTGTTCCAAGCCCTGATCTGACAATTCTCCCAGTACTAATTCCGTTAGTGACCATTCTAATCATTGTCGCATTGGCATATCTACCAATGACAATGTGCAGTGGTGTTAGATCTAGAATGACCTCCATTGCTGCTGTTGGACAGGTTCTCATGGCTCCTGTGATGCAAACACATGCTAGTCTCTGGACTTTGCATAGGTTTAGCCTTGCCGTCCGTTGCTCTAGTTTTGTGTACCAGGCAACTGCTCCATAAGTAATCATGGGTCTTACTATCATGGTATACATCCAGCGCAAAATGTTAGGGGAGCAGCCCCATTTTGTTAGGGGAGCAGCCCCATCTCTATCTATCTAGTTTTCTTTAATTCCTTTGGAATGTTGCCGGTTGATAAAATTCTCGAGAAGAAACTACAAAGCCACTTGAGGGCAGGGTTTCCAGCGTAAATAAGGAATTCTGGATGAATGTTGTCATATCCAGGAGCTTTGTTCGGCTTGATGTCTTTAATAGCTGTGACTATGTCTTCAATTTCGAAGGGCTGTGAATATTCCGAGATATGGGGAGTGGTTGTTCGTAACTCCTTCAATTTCCTCTTAATCTCAATTGTGTGCTCCTTATCACGTCGAGACCTAGATGTCTCAGCTATATAATTTGCAATTTGATTAGCTGATATTGGAGAGCTTGGCATTTTTTAATTCTTGTTGAACCTCCTAAATTACGTAGAAGGGTCCAAGGCCTTCCTACTAGATCGATGGAAGTCTGTGTTTTCCACTGTTTCAATCCAGCGGTCTCTTCTAGCAGTGTCTAGACTATGGAGGAGGTTATCTGCAACTCCTTGAACTCTCTTTGAATTCCTCGTATAGATGTTCACTGTTTTCGTTCCAGCCCGGTATGTATTCTTTTCTATACCCCCTAGGAATGTATTTATTCGCTGCTGAAATGACGGCCCCGATGAAACGATTATAGTTTTCTGGTTCAGGTGGTATAAAGCGGATACATTGGTCTAATTTTTGTGCATATTGGTCCCAATTAGCTTTCTTAAAGTTCCATCTAGGACGAGGTGTGGATCTGACCACATAGATTCTTCTATCTATGTTTCCATATTATGAAGATATGTTTTTTAACTAAAAATTAAAAAATTCGAAAAATACAGAATTTTCGAAATTTATTCGAAAAATACAATATTTTTGTTTTTTTTGGGGGGACAACCTTATAGAAGTGTAAGTGGTCGAAAAATATGTACTGTATTTACCTATTTATGCTATCAAAGTATTTTAGGATTTACATGTAAAAGGAAAATCATTTTTTGTATTATAATATGATAATCATAATAAAATAATAATTTAAAGACTCAATAAAGAAAGTTTTTCTACGTTCCAGTAATCCCCAAACCATAGATTATTCTCAATTATAACGGACAAAGAAAAAAATATAATAATATTAACGAATCCAACTCGTGAAAATCTTTATAAATCTTCTAATAAAATCTAACTTTTTGTGTATTTTTATCTGGCAAGTAGAAGCTGTAGATCATTAAAAGTTTCTACATGGCCAATCTTATTATTGTTAAAAATCTAAGAAAAATCACACTGGTTGATCTTCAATTATTTAATTTTTAATTAAAGTTAATAAAGAAAAGAGTTTTTGTAGTCTAACTGAACTGTAAATTTAATTGGTAGAACGTTTTATATTATTAGTGTATCGGATTATATAAACATTAATATAGTGTTACGGATCGCAATTCACCTTAAAAATAGTATTTTTTTTCAATATTATGGTGTCGTTCTACCTGAAATGTAAATTTAATTGAGTTTAGTAAAAGGTTTTATATCATTAGTGTATTGGATCTAATAAACATCAATATAGTTCTTTTTATTCAATATTAACGGGCCATACTATGCCAGAATGCAACCTATAATTGAAGACTTGAAGTAAATAATGCTCTAACTCCTGTGGAACAGGCATATTAAGAACACTATCAGCAAAGCCATAAAGACTCTCATGATATGCAGAAGACTGGCCGGAAATAGATGGGGCTGCTCCCCTAACATTTTGCGCTGGATGTATACCATGATAGTAAGACCCATGATTACTTATGGAGCAGTTGCCTGGTACACAAAACTAGAGCAACGGACGGCAAGGCTAAACCTATGCAAAGTCCACAGACTAGCATGCGTTTGCATCACAGGAGCCATGAGAACCTGTCCAACAGCAGCAATGGAGGTCATTCTAGATCTAACACCACTGCACATTGTCATTGGTAGATATGCCAATGCGACATTGATTAGAATGGTCACTAACGGAATTAGTACTGGGAGAATTGTCAGATCAGGGGCTTGGAACACCCTCATAAAGGAAATACCACTCCTGCAACTCCCAGTGGACGATATGCTAAGAACGTACAACTTTGAGAAACATCTCCATGTAGTATTGAGCAATAAAAAGGATTGGAAGAGCGAAACGCTTGCCCAGCAGTTAAAAGACCATACCATAACTTGGTATACTGATGCTTCCAAAACCAATACGGGAACAGGGATCGGAGTGTTTGGGCCGAGAGCTAAATACTCCGAACCAATAGGCACTTACCCTAGTATCCTACAGGCAGAAATCTACGCTATCGAAAGATGCGTACAACTTATCTTAGATAGGAACTATCGGAAACAAGAAATGGCCATCTTGTCTGATAGTCAAGCAGCGTTAAAAGCGATCAACTCAGTATCAATCAATTCGAAATTGGTCAAAGAATGCATAGAGAAGCTGAATAAATTAGGCAAAGAAAACAAAGTCCTCCTACTCTTGGTGCCTGCTCACCAAGGGATAGAAGGCAATGAAAAAGCAAATAATCTAGGAAAGGAGCGAACACTCCACTAACTGGACCAGAACCGTTCAGCTTTCCAAGTGGTAACCAACTCAAGGCGGAACTCAAGAACTTGGAAGATTCCATCCGCAACCTGGAATGGAAATCTTCAACGGTCTAAGACACTCGAAGAAGTTTCTGAGGGCTTATGATCAAGAAAAATCACAGATCTTCCTGGGTTTAAGTAAGAACAATCTTCGGATTGTCACGGGGTTTTAACAGGACACTGTCTCCTCAATGAACACCTCAGTAGATTGAAACTAAGAAGAAACGGCGAATGCAGATTATGTGGGAAGATGGGGAAACACCAGTACACCTCATCACTGAGTGCGCCGAGACGACAACCATTCGTGCCATGAATTTTGGTACGACTGATATTGGAGATGGAGAACTACCCTCTATAAAACCGTCCCAGATACTGGCTTTTGTCAAAGCCCTGGGACTGTATGATGAGTTATGACTCAAGAAAGGGGGACACAATGGATCTGTAAGGTCGCAGTGATTAACCCCCCTCCCACTCATTCTAAATTCTAAAAAATTCTAGCCGTTACTGGTCTCAATCTTGGGGCATCAGGAGGCACCCCATTGTATTTACCCCTTACTTCTACATGCGGGGCTCTGTAAAAGTGGACTGACTATCCCTAGCGACTCTAGTTGAATCCCAAGCCCGGCGCCAAGCTTAGCTACTCGGTAATGTCATGGTAATGTCCAAGAAATCCATTTATATAAGTAATAATATACTGCTTTAGATACCGGGTTACATGATAATAAAATAATTATTCAATCAATTTATACTTTTAAATATAGCGTAAATATTTAGATAAAGTGAATTTTTAGGTAGAAGAAGCTCGATATAATTCGGCTTCTTCTTTTTGTAACGACATAAAAATTTAAAAAAATCAACATTAGTTTTTTTATATCGATTCAAATAGAAAATAGTGAATTTTATTGGTTTCTGGGATGGTGACTATCTAAGTGGGGAGCCACTTAAATAGTTGACCACTGACCAATATTAGCCGTTTCTTTGTAGTTTTAGAATTAGGTCATTAGTATATCTATATCTATGACTGTGCCACTCACTGTTTTTCATTTCTAATATAGTTACGGATACATAGTTATGAAAAATTATGTGTTACTTAACAATATTGTGTTACTGTACTCATGGGCATCCTAGGGATCTACAAGATAGCCCTCAACCACCATAGCCCTCAAGAAGCTGGGCATCAGTAAGGAAATTATCGCGACGAGGATATTGCCGTTCCTCATTCCTCTGTGCATCGAGAATGGATTAACCTTGCCGCAATTTGGAGCCATAACCGCCCTAATAAAAGACATGTTTCAGCTGGTGGAGACAGAACATCCCACCTGAATTCCGTCAAGGACGAACAGAAGATGCTCACTTCTGCAATGCCTAGCATACCTTCTACTATAAAGCCTGCAAATCTTGCTGATGCTTTCTCTGGGCTGGGTCTAGAAGATTTTTCGCAGGTTCCTCAAACGCGACCGCTTTTAGTCTGGAGCAGAAGCAATCTCTGGCCCGTCAGCAGGAGGCCATGAAAGTGTTTCAGCACCAAACTGGCATAGAACCAAAAAAGGTCGTGAATATCCCTAAAGCACAACCTAAAGATCTAACTGGCAGTTTATCACAGGATTATTCTCTGCCTGAGAGAACCGACGAAAATCAATTATGTGTATACTTAAATAAAAATAATACAATTTGATCGAAAAAACAGCATCAGAGATGGCTTGTAAATGTATAGATCGCTGTCAATATGTATGTAAAATTATATGGGGAATGTTATCGATCGCGAAGTTATCACAAACTGTGAAGCTATTATAATTAGAAATGTTAGGATTTTAAATTTTGCTATTTAATTAACCTAATTTATTGCTCTAGGTCAAGAGTACGACATTTTTAATTAAGGTTCTTTTTTTATTTTCAGGTTATGGAGACAAAGAATATGATATATCTTGTTTCTGAGTACGCTAGTCAGGGTGAAATATTTGGTAAGTGTGAATTTAGAAGTTGAAATATTTATAGGGTGAGTCTTAAATAAGTGCAAATATTTCCCGGGTTGGTAGATGTCGATAAAAGAAACATATTTCCTCTCTATCAAGAAATTATGCTTTTTAACTAAAAACTAAAAACTAATCCAATTTTTTTTTAAGAAATTAGAAACTTTCGGGAATATTTTCAGGGCTGGTAGAGATGTTAAAAGAAACATATTTTCTTTTTACCGTTTTTCAAATAAATCGAAAATAACCGAGTTATTTTTTGCTTAAATTTTGAGAACCAATGGATCTTTTCTGGTTCTTTCTTGTAAATTTAATCTAGTAGCTATGATGTCAAATTATCGGGAAATTAGGTTTTTTAACTAAAAACTAAAAAAACATTTTTTCGAAAAATTTCAAATTTTCAATGAAAAAATTTCGCGAACAAACCTCATAATCATGTTTCTGGGGTCGAAATACCCGGTGCTTTTTTTTATTAACTTTTTTATTTTTTCAGTTAAAAAAAAGAGATTTGGTATGCTAGTATATGACATAAATTAGGATTGATTGACGTATTCAACTGTTTTCGGTCGCTTCCTGTTTCACCGGAAATGACTACAACTTTTGATTTTTAAATGGCACCCTCGGTATTTTTAGCCGGTATGGTAGAGGCTATTAAAATCGGCAAAAAAAAAGTTTTTTTAATTTCACTCAAAATGGGTTATTTGGGTCATAAATTACCTAAATACAAAATATTTTCATGGTGTCTGTCTATCTGTCTGTCTGTCTGTCTGTCCGTCTGTAACACGATAACTCAAAAACCGCTGAACCGATTTTAACCAAATTTGGCACGAAAATACTGTGGCATCCGAGAATCTGGCCATTAGTATTTGTGTGGGTGGGGGGTTGGTAAGGGGGTACGGGAGGGGATTAAAAATTTTAAAAAATCGTAACTCCAAAATTACAGTAGCTAGCGAAACGCGGTTTTCAAATTAAGATTAGGAATAATATTTGCAACAAAATTTGTAATAACATCAAAATCAGTCAAAGTCGCAGTTTTCGAGATATTAACATATTTAGTATGGGCGGCTATACGTGCCTCCCGGCGCCAATTTTCTATTTTTTTTTTACTTTATTCGATAAAAAATAACACTCTGAATAGAATGGCATATTATTTGTCAATTTTTGACATTTTCGCATATGGTTTATTTGAAACTATAACTTGCGGTTCGTAACGAAAATTTGACTCGAAATACCAAGTGTGTAATATCAAATTATTCGTAAAAAATGCTTTTTCCAAATATGCTAATGAGACACCCTCATTCCATTTGACAAAATTGATATATGATTAAAAATACGATTTGAGCATTTTCTAACTGGCCAGGACAAGAGACTAAAAATATTAGACGATCCAATCTATTTTTCCAAGGCTTCTTGATTAAATATTAGGGTTTTTAACATAGCCATGAGACTCTAGATTGAATTTTAAAATACAATTTTTTATTAAGCGAGAATGTCAAAATTTGACATATGATATGTCATTCTATTCAGAATGTAATTTTCTATTGAATAAAGTAAAAAAAAATACTGAGGGTGCCATTTAAAAATCAAAAGTTGTAGTAATTTCCGGTGAAACAGGAAGTGACCAAAAACAATTGAATACGCCAATCAATCCTAACTTATGTCATATACTAACGTACCAAGTCTCGTTATTTTATCTGAAAAAATAAAAGGGTGAGCCACTTTTGAGACGCACCCGGTATACTACCCCTAAAAAATTAGAATAAAAATACAAAAAAATGGCTTAAATTTAGAGAACCGCTGTTTTTCAGGGTTTTTGTTCTTCTAAATTTAATTAAAACCTATCTTGTCATATTTTCAACATATTATGTGGCGTCTGTGGAAGCCTTTAGACATCCTTATCGGGACTTTAACTAGACCCGAAATAGAATATTGCTTATTACATAAAAACTGATTAGAGCTTTCAAAAATAATACTTTTGACGCTCGAAAGATTATATTAGTAAGTTGAAGTCGCTTTTATTATAATTCTCTGTGATTTTGCTTTATACGCAACGAAAAGGTCAAACGTTGAACTCTGGTTTAAGAATTATCGTCTCCCAATCAATTTCGAGCAAATGAGGTTTATAGGGCAACAGTTTTTAGGTCCTTTTGTTATCTTTTTTTTTGTTGTTTTCTTTTTTTGAACGGCGCAAAGAATTTTGATTCCGTTATTGACCTACTTATTTGTTCTAAAACTAAGTTGGTCTTTACCTAGTTCAAAAACATTCAAATATGATCTTTAAGAAAGGTCCTTTACATTTTTTATATCATAACATCGGAAAAGAAAACGCCGTCGAATACGGCTAGGAAATGACAATCGATGATCATTTTGGCGAGGCCAAGCTCTACATACGTACATTCATACTGCCATTACTCGCTGACGAGTATTTGACACGCATCAGAAGATGGTCACGCAAAGCGTTTCCTTTCATGAACTTTTCTGTGACTGAAAAGCCCGATACGTGATGTTATCTGTCTACCGCTACAGGGTGGTCCGAACTGTAATGCGGAAACTTCTGCAGCATATTCTGCAGGTAAAAATAAGTAAAAAAGTTCGTATGAATGTATGCCCTAAAATGTTATAGTTTCGGAGATACAGGGTGTAGAGGTTTCATTTTTATTTCGATTTTTTCCAAATAATTTCTGAAGTAACGTCAATATTTGGATGAAAATAGGTGTCTGGGAGTCTTTCGACATGAGAAATTTGATTTTGATGTCAATATGACTCCTAGTTGTAGAGGGCGCTACCTACATATTTTTTAACTGGTGAATTTTTTTAACTGGTACTTTCTAACTGAAGCGTAATAACTTTTCGTCTATACCTATCTAAAACTACTGAGTAAAAAAAAATTACGATGATTTTATGTAAAAAAGGTCTCTTAGTAAAAACCGCTACGAGTAATGGTTCTCGAGATATTTAGAATCGATATTATCAATACCTGTCATCATTGACATAAATTAAACATGTTGACTAAATAGTTATTAGATTGCAATCATAAATTTGAAATGATTTTGTGACAAAAGTTCAACAGAAAATTTAGAAAACATAATTTTTGCGAAGAAATATTTATAATTAATTTAAAAAAAATAAAAAGTGCCCAAATTTCTAATTTCAGTCAAATAACTATCTACTTACATATTAATTTTTTGTCAATAATGACATGTAATGACTACTTCCATTCCAAATATCTTGAGAACTGTTGCTCGTAGCGATTTTTACCAAGAGACATTTTTTTACGTAAAAAATTACGGAAATGTGTATTTTTCACTCAGTAGTTTTATACAGGTACGGACAAAAAGTTATTACTCTTCAAAACAGTTAAAACACATATAGGTGGCGCTCCCTATATATAGCAGTCATAATGACTTAATTATGAAATTTTTACATCCTGTATATCCGAAACTAAGCGTTTTAGGACATACTCTTAGCGAGTTTTAACAAGATACCTTTTTTACCTAATAAACGTGGCAAATGTATATTTTCCAAGGAACTTTTTTACTTATTTTTATCTGCAGAATAATATGCCACCGAAGTTTTCCGAATACAATTCAGACCATCCTGTATATTTTTTCTGCATTTCAAGATATTTTTCTGCAAACTTTTCATAATTTTGTGATCTAATCGGTATCCCCATAATCATCGGGATCTAAAAAAAATTCAGCGAAACTCGTCAATTTACATATCAAGGGGGACAATTTTTGAGGCATTTGTTGTCGTGTTAATTTCAACCCCTTGACCCCCAGGGCACCGAACCCTAAAATTTTAAATAGCAACCCCTATTTCTTTTACCATTTTTGTGTTTCTTATAGAATTCTACATAAGTATCACAATTTTGACAAAATAATAATGCGGTTTATGTAGAATTGTATAAGGAACACAAAAATGGTAAAAGAAATAGGGGTTGCCATTTAAAATTTCAGGGGTAGGTGCCCTGGGGGTCAAAGGCTTGAAAGTAACACGACAACAGATGCCTCAAAAAATTTCCCCCTTGATATGTAAATTGACGTATTTCACCAAATTTTCATAGTATCATCGGTAGAGGTAATATTAAATAATGTTCGTTTTCAAATTGTCACCCTGTACTTAATAGCTCTTGGAGTATGCCCCGTCTAATACTATCAGTATAAGTAAAATACTTCACTAAACACAATGCTACAATTGATAAAACCTCAGGTAAATATTCCTGTGTGTACACAATGTGTACACTAGTTTTTAATTCATCTTATTTGACAGGTAAAACATTATCTGTAGACATATATTTATAGCAGGTTTCCCAAGTAGCATTTTCACGACTTGCGACCACATGTTTACTAAACACAACGTTGGATTAGTTACAAAAAATAGTTAGCTCCCTACCTTGGGTATTAAAATAAATTTAAACGTTTTTATAACGTTGTGCCGACGTTGGACTAGTAGTACAGCAAAGTAGGAAGCTTCTGCGACGTCGAATAAACGTTGTCTTGTAACCTTTTTGCTTAAGTGATCTTTAGGTGATTCGGACAACGTCGTTACAACGTTGGACAATATAGAGTTTTCCGACGTCAGTTTCAGGACCTATTCCAACGTTATGCAAACGTCGTCTGTTTTACTGATTCCAACGTTGTTTAGATTTCCTTATTCTTACGTTGGTAGGACGTCGAGTCACTACCTTTTTGCAACTGTATTGAACCATAACCTTAAATTTTAAATTTTCACTTCATTGTTCTGTTCAGTCAGACAGTTCAGTGCTGTTTTTGTTTTTATAAAAAAAACTTAATTAAAAAGGGACATAAGAAAGGTACATATAAAACTAAATTTAAATATACATCGACATATATTACCGATAGTTTATCCACTCCCTCGTTTATTTATATTATAGAGGTCGGCACAAGCTAGACTTTAGGATGACTAAATTAGGCAATCTTGCGACTAGTATACTACCTGTTAAGGCCGAACTGCGACTTTATTAGTCC